ACTATAGTTCTGTGACTCCAGAAGAAACAAACACAGTGTATTAACATCACCACTCTGTCTCCATGTGTACTGCTTCTAGTTATGGCTATAAAGTAATAGACTCCATATAATTATCATGCACCTTGTTGACGTTTGTTTCAATTTAACAACTGGGATTCCAAGATTCATGAATGAAGAAGTGTCCAATACAATAGAATCTAGTAGGACCTTAAAAGGCTGAAACTGAAAGAGAGAGTGTACATGATGTCTCAAGATTTTATTTAAGATGATCAATTACAGTATCTAGCATTTGTTGGTAACTGTGGGAGTAGATGGGGAAAACTAAAGATGTTTGCGATAATGAGGACTATTTATTTGTGTTATTTGTCATAAAATAGCTAAATACAATGTAATTGATGCATTATTGCTGTGTTGTTGTTAATCATGAAATCACCAAATTATGCAAAACATGGTTGTCTGCACCAGCTGGAGGATGGGCCAGTTGATAAACATGTATAGATTATGCTTTTCATAGCATCTAATGTTGATTACTATTTTTGCAAAAGGTACTTTCCTTGACCCTCCATGTCTTGTAGCATTAGCTGTTCCAATAATAGTGTTTCTTCATACATATCCCAATACTTTTCCGGTTAACCCTTTTCAATTAATATTATAAGAGTAGTTCATGTATGTGTTGTTCTTATCTATATCTGCTTTAGTCTTTTTAGTATGATTTTAGGGGCATCTGTAATAAACCAAAACCATTTCTTAATGAAAAACTAATGATGATATGATTTTCAAATCATAGGTGCTAGTGGGAGCTAATCAAAGGTTCTGATGCACAATAATACATACATTTTCTAGAATATGTGTATTTCATAGTTACACTGTAAATATTAACCTCAGTAGGAGAGAAAAAAAAAGAGAAGAATTTTGATGAAACAATTGGTGAATGGATTGTCTTTTCTTTTTTCGCAAACTAAAGAAAAGAGAATAAAAAAAAAGTTGAAAGAAAACAACCTTAAAACTCGACAACGTCAAGAACATGTTATCTAAGGTTGGTTCCACGTTTGTTACATCGCTTTCAGTCACAAAAATAAAATAATAAATGTTGATTTTAAAGTTTGAAATTTAACCCCTCTCTCTCTATATATCAGCTACTGGTCTTTCTAAGGAAATTCAACCCATCTAGAACTTTTCTTCAATGTCAGTTTAATGTTGAATAATTGGCTCAACCAACCCTCACAACTAGCGTTATCTGATAGAGAAAACTGAACCAATACTATTTCAACATAACATAACTTCTCGGAGTCAAATTTAACATTTTTTTCATGTATCAGTAGTTTTTTATTCTTTACAATTTCAGGGTGGCATAATGTTAGAAGAAAAATAAAGAACCCCACTATAAGATGATGTGCAACAATAATGACAAATTAGAAGAGCATGGATAACCACTTGTTTGTGGATTAGATAGGATTAATAGTGTGTAATGTGGGGCACTCAACCTTTGTAATCTTATAAAAAAAATCTAAGTACCACTGAGCAATGGCAGTGTCCGAAAAGGTAACCATAAACCGTAACATAATAGGAGCTGGAGAGTAATTGCAGTCCATATCAATGTGACATGACTGCTGCTTTGGCATATTCGCAGTAGCAGAAATTAGATTCTTCATCAACCAAATGTAACCTTGGCCTACACCATGAAAGTGATGACCAGATAATGATCATTTACTCTTAGAACATGAATTATGGTGCAATTTATAAAATGAGAATTGTCTGTTTTTAGTTGATGTAGATCCTCAAAGTTGAACCATAATACTTAAAATAAGCCAAATCAAGTATATGGTAGAAGTTAGAACAGATTCTTATTTGAGACTCTATATCATAAGAAGTACTTTAGGAAATGCATATATGTGAGTTAGTGTGAGAATATTTGATCCTTCATAGTAGTATTTTCTTATTCAAATAAGATAATCTAATATAAAAGATAGTATTTTATAATCTGAGAGGAAAAGAGAAGATAATGGTCATTTCATAATGGCAAACATGGTAAAGGGTAAAGGCAGTGCAAAGAGACAACCAAAACAGATGCACTAGCACTATGTCACACACACACCACACAGGTTCTTGTACAAATATGTAGCATAAAGTAATGAATTAAAAGGAGTGAAAGCCTTTTCATTTTCTAACACCCCTTATTTGTTTTTTTCTCTCTGCTCATCTCAAAATGCCATTTACTGTATTGGGATTATGCCACAGGCTTCTAGGATTCCTCCACTGGAGCAGCAGACCATAAAATGGAAAAGCATTATATGCAGAATCTCAAGATCCAAGTGATCCTCATTCCTAAGGCAAATTTCATTTTTTTTTTCATGGATTTACTGATTCCTGTGATACATAGTATAAATACTTTCCTAAAGCAGTGATGCAAGCTGTCCTCTGCTCAATAAGTTAATGAATCTTATGCTATTTTCTTGATGATGTTGATTGTCCTGCTTCACTACACACATAAGAATATCTCATGAACCAATGGTAGCAGAAAGATAAGCATGCCTCATAGGGTAACATTAAGTAAAATTTAAAGCACCCCATTTCAGCTAATTAATAATTAAATTGAAAGCAACACCTTACTTTTCTTTTTCACCCTATTATGTTTTTTTCTTGTTCATTGCATGAATTTTGAAAGCAACATTTGAATTACCGGATGCTGCTCATTGGTTTAGAGTTTATCAGTGGTGGTTTTCATCATAAAACTGCTACTTCTCTTGCCCTTTGGAATGGTGATTTAGCTTCAAAAACAATGGAAGAACAAACACCCCATCCAGAAAAGAGAACAAGTTTCTGTAGAAAAGCAATGAGAGGTTGCATTAATTATGGAAACAAGACCAACTCCACATTAAAATTTTGGCTTACGGAAAAAAATGTTACTCATTTACTTAAGTTACATGTCAAACTTTTTTTCTGGATTGGATAGAAGTTTGAAGCTTAAATTTGACTAATTGCCTAACAGTTTTACTGAATTTGAATACTAACTCAGTTTCATGTTTAGAATATAATTGTGAAATTGTTGATTCAACTGATATTGAATTTGACATCCCAGATGGCATCAATTTTGTCGCATGTGAGTGAGTCGTGGCTCCCCAGCAAGATTTATTGGTAAAATGGGTTGCAACTTGTGGTCTAGATGTCACAAGAGATCACCAATCATAAATTATTCAATATTCATCCCCACAGAAATCAAAATGTACAGTAATAAACGAATAATAACATCATCCAATATGTTATAGTACAATAGACATTGATTAGAACATTTTGTGCGCGTGGGGTCATCAAACGTTGATTTTTGAACATGATTGAGAGCGTTGGATTTCTACTTTTTCTTTGGATAATGAAATCTTGGCTCCTATGTGTGTGTTTGAGTTATTTTCCAAACACTTTTGTTTCTAAGATTATGTACGCTTCATAGACATCCCCAAAACAAGATAATATGATGTGTTGGATGGTGTTAATTTCGTTTCCCTGTTCATTACTATTTACTAGACAAGGCTCCTACGACTCCAATCACAAAATGTTCAATTTTGTTTATTGTTTATCATGTAGCACTTCTCAAACGTAAATCATTTTAAGATGTGTGTATCAGAAAATGAAAAAGCAAATCCTTGCAGAAATTGAAACAGATGTATAAAAAAAAACAAAACTGTATGAATTAGAAGATAAATGATTCTGTAATTTTCTTGAGGGTCTTCCCCTTATGATTAAAGCAAAAACTAAATCCTTACGTTCATTACAAGTTCGTAATTTATTAACTCGGTCAACTAACACTTTCGTCGCTCCAATAATTTAGATATCGTTTTGATTTTATTGGTGCATAGTTTATTCAATTAGTTAATTATGTGAATGAAGCCATGGAGAAAATATCTCAAAATACATATAGTATTTTTAATGCATTTCATTACAAAATTCTTATTAAAAATACAGTACATTTATTTAATAAATTCAATATATATCAAAGTCTGACACAAATTGAACCACGTAAAAAAGTTTGCACGCACAGAAAGTAGATTTCAAATTATATAAACACGTACTTACTTATATTTGTAGCTCTATCTTATGAAAACAACACATTGTCCCTAATATTATAACCAAGTACAAAATACTAATTAAGATGAGTTGGAACCTAGATCATAATAATAAGAAAATATAAACGAGTACGTAACCAGCAATTAAGGTGGATCATGTTTGATGTAAGCAACGTATTATTATTGAGAAATTAATTATGTGAATTGTAAGATTAGAATGAAGTGTGTGGTTTCATATAATAATGTGTTTGCTTGACGCAATAAATGAGAAGAATTATCATGTTACAAGTAATTTTTTGGAACATGTCTTCTTGCGCCATTTTATATGACTCAGAACCAGTCAGCCACACGCTTAACGCGTATTAAGCTAATTAAGATTTACTTATTCTCTATATTGTAATGAATAATAAAGCTAGTGGATGAGCTAATTAAATTTATTATTTTCTCATCAATGGTTTTTAATTGTAGAATGAGGCGTGTGTAAAATTGATTGAAAATTTGTATAGGAAATGAAAAAAAAAAAAAAAAAAAGTGGGAAGAGAGAGAAGGGATGCATAAAATAATAAAGAGAGGGTGATGAATGCGAGAGTGGATCCATGATGTCCTATGATATGAGATGATATGAGATGATATGAGGGGCAATAAACAAAGAAAACAGCTTCACACACACCACACAGAACAAAGGAGACATGTCAAATCAGCATTGGATAAAGCCTCTTCACTTTCTTTTCTCTTTTTTCCTCAAACTCCCACTCCTTCTCTCTCTCCCCTACCACTCTGCAGGTTATTTATTATCTTTTTTTTTTGTTTTCATATTTCTCTAGGTAAATAGAGTGAGCAATAAGTGAATAATAAAAAGTAGAAGTAGATGAGTGAAGAAGAAAGGGTGGTATCGGAGGGCCTGAATGAAATTTGAAAAAGGTGCGTACCATGGGGATGTGATCACGGGCACATGGAGAGGTGGTTTTCGTGTGGGTTGGGCAAAGCCCCGTAAAATATCAAATTTGCACTTCCTAAGTAACCTCTCCCCATCAAATGGGCAACAAGAAAATAAAACAAACATTAAACTAAAATTTAAAAAACATTGTTATGTTAGAGGTTAGGTGTGGGGTTGCTTTCATGGCCCTATTTATCATTTTTACGTGTATTTATTATTGTAAAGTTTAAAAAATAGCCTTTTTTTTTTTTTAATAGTGAAGTTTATTATTATTTTTAAAGTTTTGAAGCAGAAGGGAAAAGGACGCCTATTTTTTGTTCTGACAGGAGAGCTTTGTGATGGGCCCCACTCGCTTTATTAATGAGTTTTGCAATATTTGTAAAAAGATAAATAAATGCCTATTTTCCTAAAATATTGTATACTGTGCATCGCAATGGATTACTGGGGGCCCACTGCAATGATTGTGAATTATTTTTGTTTAGTTCGCAATAGTTCAGTGAATTCATAATCCTATCATCAAAGCAAGAAAGAAAGATGCAAGTTATCTCAAATTCATGGGAATGGGATATTTTAACACAAAAATCCATCCCGTTTACTTTTCATGAAAATTTATATTATACAAAATTATGTATGATTAAATATAATGCTTAAATATCCTCATATTATCAGTAATTCTAATTAGTTGCACTTTATACTTGTTATTTTTTTAATTTATCTCCTTTCGCGTCATTTTGTTACATTGAAAGAAAACTTCACATAAAAATATATAATTTTTGAAAAAGGTTATATGTTAAAAATGTTATCTTTTATCTCTCCTTGCATCTAATTGCCCTTACACAAATATATAATCTAAGTGTAGAAATATATATTTCTCCAAAAGGAAGTGACAAAAATATAATATACTGCCACAACCATTTCTGATTCCCATTGTCAAATCCTAGCAGTGACCCCAATCTATTTTTCATTAGTCAAAGTAACTGCTTACCTAATCTCAGTTTTTTTCCGTCTGTTTCTTACAGAAACTGTGGATTCCATGATATTAACTTTTATCATCAGAATTGAAAACTTAATTCTAAAATCTCTTTTTCTTATTTATTAAGTATAGAAAATATTAAACAATTTTATGTTTTAAGGTATTAAGCATAATATTTGTTTTTGTTTAAGATTTGTTTATAGCATCACCAACACTATTGCAAAGAATTAGGCATATTCTGTCAGGTTTCATTTAAAAGGGCCTTGCTTGGTGAGAGAAATGAGAAGGGATATCACTTTTTCACTTTTCCCCTTTTGCTTTTGTGGTACTCCAAAAGGTTTTCAGATAAAATAAGAACAAATAAAATTAATTTTAATAAATATCAAATTCAATAATAATTTACCCTGTCTGTCTCTTGTCCTTGAAGTGATTTCTTCCCAAGTTCCCCAATCGTCACGAAATTCGAGATGCCACGAGCCTTCTTCACCCTGCAGCTCCATCCTGCGTTTTCATCAGTCCACAGTCACATTAAATTTTTAATATAATCTAATCCTTATAATTAACAACTCCGATTATCAGTACTTTAAATATATTCAATGCTTCTTCATCTTTATCCTCTCAGAGTTCGAAGGATATTTGAATAAAGATTAGAAGGAGGGAAAAAAGAAGAACTAGTTGAAGTACTTAATGTAGTGTTCATCAAAAGATGAGAAAAATTTAAGAAAGGAAAGTTTCATACTCCCTTGTCTCCTTTCAAGGGACCATAACGTTGTGAGTTGTAGCACAAAGCCAAAAAATATTTGAAAGTTGCTGGGTAGTGTAAGTTGTAACTTCTCTCTGCACTTTCTCAATCATGGTGAACCAAACCAACACTCACCGAAAAGAAATAAAGAAAGAAAATTCTGATCAAAGCAGAAGCATAGTACTGACATTTGGGAAATCGAAGCAAAAGAATCTCTCCGCGTCATGCATGCATCCTCAGGTGTTTTTTTATTTTTTATTTTTTTGAAGTTTTTCTCATCTTTGAAAGTTTCTTAATTTCAGAAATTTTATTTTATTACACAAGATATAGCTATGGCAGCAGCTTCTTACACTTACATTATGTGAACAAAAAAAATAGAAAAAAGAGTTACTTCTTACAATTTTTCCCTTGCTAAACAAAAGAAGGAAAAACAAAAATACTTCATAAAAAAAAAAAAAACAAGAGGAGAGCCTCATCCGATATTTTCTCTTTATATTTAATTTTTTTTAATTCAGAAAAAAAAATAACAAAATTTTGTTCTATGGTTTGTCCTTGAGAAGAGAGGCCAGGCCGGTAACCACCTTCGTCCCTCTCTCAACGCTCTTCGGCTTCACCGCTGGCGGTTGCCACACCGGAGTCGGTGATGGCGACTCTGCCTTCTCCTTGGCGGAATCTGCCTCCGACTCAATCTCGTGCTTCGGCGACGATTCCTCGCCGAAAATCAGCTCCAACTCACCGCAATCGCTCTCCGTCGACGCCGCATCACCGGAGGACAGTGTTTCCGGCTGAGATACGACCACTTGCACGGAGGAGGATGGGGGTTGCTTCTCCCTAACACTGGACGGAGAGAGCCACTTTGCGAGCATGTAATCGCGCTTCCTCCACGGCGGAACATGCATTCCTTTCTTCTTCAAACTCTGATTGGCAGCTTCCGAGACAATAGTCACTATCTGCTTCAATCTCTCCGATTTTCCAACGAAGAGGAACGGCAGCGATTGAAGAATCGCCTTGTAAGTTCCTGTAGATCTAGCCACCTCAAACTCAGATCGAAAATCCACATCCACGATCAACCTCTCACCTTCCACAATTGCATCTATGAATTCATATTCACCTACACCAAAACACAAACATAATCAGTCAAATTCAAATTCAACTTGAAATCCAGATACAAATTCACTTTCAACTAGCAGTACCAGCAGGACAGGACGAAGTTTTCTCCCATTTAGACTTGCAGATGGAAGAATCATAACCCAACACTGAAGAAAGTGCTTCCGCGACGACCTTTCTCAGTTCATCTTTCCCCTTAAACGACTTGCCGTTTTTGTCGACGATTCTCGACACCTCAGCTAACAGGTTCCTCTCTCCGACACTCACGCAAGGGATCAAGCTCTGCTTGTGACAAAACCAAAACAAAACCAAAATTATCAAGCAAATTATATACAATCAAAGAAATTATAATAAAATTAAAATAAAATTGGATCAGAATTTAGATTGGCTACCTACCTTGAGGGATTCAGCTGCATCGGCATTGGACGATTCCGGTGGGGGCGGGGTACCGAAGAGGTCGAAATCGTCCTCATCAGAGCTATTCGCATTGAAGCAGTTGCAGCGATTGCGACCACATTTGGGTGCCGGAGGTTGTTCCTCCATGAAATTCTGCACCATTTTTGCCAAGCACACCGAACTTGGTTCAAATTCTGTCGTTACATCTTTGCTGTTCTTCGGTAACTGACGGTCGAAAATGAACAACCGTTTCAGCCTCGACTTCAACACGGACTCGTTACGAACCACCACTGCATCCTTCGCCTTCTCAGAATCGATGTCGATCGCAATCGGTTGAACCTTCATAGGAGCCATAAGCTTCTATTACTTTCTTTTTTTTTTAGAGCTTCTATTTTTTTTTTTTTTTCAAAACTCAAACCCTAGTCAACACACATTCATGTTCTAACTTCCTAACACCAGTCAACAATCGTCACGGATTGGGCGTGTGTTCTTATGAGAGATGAAAGGTTAAAAAGAAATTACAAATAAAAAAGAAATTGTAATTCTTAATCATGCATGTACGGGGTTTCTTTTCTTCTAGGCTAAGAGAGTGAAGGTTTCGAGGTAAGGATTTTCGTGGAACACATGACGACGGTGGTCGGAGAGACGAGCACTTGTCATCAGCGTGCAGGTTAAAGTCACCGGAGTGTTCATTCTCCGGCAATGGAGAAGAAAAGAGGATTTAATAATTTCGTTTAGTTTTTTTTAGTAATTGAAATTGTTTTGAATTAGGTGACTCGGTGGATTGGGTTTTATAGCGAGTCAAGGTTGCTGACGTGGACATTCACATGCCACGTGTTCTTACGTGGCACTTGATGTTTGGGTGCCGCTTGGACGACACCGTTTGATAACAACATCCGGTGTGCATTATAAGGTTTCTCAATTGAACGACGCGTGGCAGGAATGATTGCCTCGAATCTGATCTTATGAAATTACCATTGAGGTCCTGGTCATAGTAAACACCACCTTCGTTCATATTTCATTTATTCACTTATTGATTCATCGTATTATTTTTATCGAAAGAAAAGGATTAATTATGTATTTTATAAATAATAATAATAATAATTATGCGCGAGTGGAGAGATAGAGATCTTTATGGCGTGTATGTGAAGTCCATGCTGTCATAGATGTATGCGCCTAAAGTTTTTTACACGTGTTCATCTAAATAAATTAAAATGATTCTATAACATATCAGAATATATTTTATATTTATATAAAATAAAATACTATTATTTTAAATGATTGAAAGGTATTCTATTTAATTAATGTAGCATTAAGTATACAATAGTCATATACTCATATTATTTAAAAAATTGATTAGAATATGTTAATAATATTAAAATTATATTATGAAAACTATTAAATAACATTAAACTATTGACAAAAACTCTAAATTTGGTTATAAAAGTGCACGCTTGAAAATTAAATATACATTTCTGTGCAAGTGAAAGAAAAAAAAATTGAAGTAATAAATTATATAACATGTAAAAGTAGACGGAGATACTTGTATAAATTAATGGAGTTATTAAATTTAATGTTTTTTTTATTAAATGAGATACTTTTATAAAATTTTAAAATAAAACTTACTTTAAATTCCACATATTAATTTATTAATAATTATGAAATTTAATGAAGTTATTTATTCATTTACAATGTTTAAATCAATACATTAATCTATATTAATTTAACAATAAAAGAAAATTAAAATAAGTAAGAAAAAATAAATCATATTTCACAAGATAAAATTCTTTACTTTTTTTAAATTTCATGCTAATAATAAATTGAAAACTTCAAAAATTATTTATCTATCAATATATAAATAAATAATAATGATTAACAAAAATTATAAATGTCATATAATATAAACAAAAATAATTAACATATTTAAAAGGAAAAAAAATTAGGGAAGTATTATGTAGAAAACACACTAGAGAGAACTAAGAATTATTTCAATTTGATTTAAAACTTATAAATTCATTTGTTTTTATTCAAAGGTATTCATTGTTTTCTTTAAATTTATTTTCTACGAATTGTGTGTATCAACACACACATGAATAATTGCCTACCCATAATAAAACACCATAATCACACATTTGATAAAATATTTTAGTTTTAGACTTATTATCTTATTACCATTTGAGCTTCAAAATGAGATATAACAGATAGAACATATTTAAAACAAGAAGAGATAAAAACTGAAAAGAAAAAAAGACAAATGAAATGAGAATGCTGAAAAGATAAATTTTTTGAAAGCAAATCTTAGTTATAATGTGGAATAGAAGTTTACCCATTGTTTGAGCATGTTTTTCCCTATTTGTGAATTAGATTAAAAGAGTTTCCTTTAGCCATGATGATTCATTTGTTGTGAGAATGATGATAAAACCTAGATATCATTGATGCCCTAAGGACTTCATTCATACAGCAATCATAGTGTAGGTGGCTTATGAGAGTCATTGAGATTTAAAATTTTGATGAACATGGAAAGTGAGGTTGAAATGATGGAAGGAATTGCGGTTTATGAGAGTTAAAAGGGTGAAAACAAGAGTTATTAGATTGAGAATTGTATGCATGTTGGGTCAATTTTCTCATCATGTTTTCTCACAGTCAAAAGCAAAGACACATGTCTGGTATAATTCTGTGTCCATGTTCAGTATATGTGAAGATTGTATGCAAGTAATGCATAATTGACTTAATGTGAATTGGGGAACAAGAATTGAATGGAATCTTTTAGCCCAAAGAAGGAAAAGAAAAGAAGAAAGAAAGAAAAAGGGAAAAAAAGAGAAAAAAAGATGAAAGGGATATTTCATTTACCTCACCACACACTCTGGTGTTACATTTGGAGTGGCAAAAAGAAAAATCAAGAACTTGAGCTTCATAGGTTTCAACATTTGAATCTCTCACTTTCTCTTTTTGTTTTGCAAAAGAGAATAATTTAGGAGCTGAAGAAATTATACCAATATCTTTGGACAAGCAACTATTTTTCTTTAATTTTCTTTTTTAAATATTGATGTGAAAAGGGGATTCTTTATTCTTTATTTTATTTTTATTTAGTACAAGAATTGTAAATTCTTAAAAAACAAAAGATAGAATCTTTAATTGAGTAAATGCAATGAAGTTGAGTTTTGGTGTAATTGAATGCATAATATTTACATGAAACAAACCCTATAATCCTGCAAATAGCATGTAGGGTGGACCAACTCCATATGGATAAGGACCTCACTTTATCAATAATATTTTTACATCTTCATAATATATATATTTTTCAATTTATAATCCAAGTAAGAATCAAAATGAATTAATCAAAACTATATATTTATTTAGTTATTTTTATTTATATATTTTACTGTCTCTCTCAAAACATTTTAGGATTTGATTTTATTAGTATATTTGTAATTTTTTCAAAGTATAATAATAGATTTTCATTATAAGTATGATAATAATAAAAATTGTAAAAAAAATATTTAAACTAAATTACCAAATACTAATTTTATATTAGAAAATTTTTTAATTAAAACTAAATCATGTTTAATTTAGATGACTTTTAAATTGTGTGTCAAACTCAAAATTGACAGAGTTTAAGTTGTGTGCTTAACTCAAATTCTGCAAAAAAGTAAAATAAAAATAAAGTCTTCTCCATTTAAAAATAGGAGATACAAAAAGAAGCTTCTAGAAAAAACATTTTAATAATTTTTTTCTTCACTTTCCTTTATTTTAAATTAAACATGTATGTTTAAAAACATTTTTTCTGAATTCTTAACATAAAAAAATAATTTTATGATGAAAAAGTTGTAACTATGAAATAAGTTTTTTTTTTAAATTAATATTTTATTTTCAATGAAATTTGTAGTATTTGAAAATGAAATGTTATTTATGAGTTTCTTCATTTCATAACTTTTGTGTATAAAAAAATTGGAATGATAAGACTTAATTGTAAACATGGCTTTTATGTTTATAATAAAGATTAAAGCATTAATTAAAAGCTAACACAAAAAAATTAAGTTAACCTAAATAAAGTTTCTAGTAGGTAATTTCAATGAGAATTGTGTAGAATTTTTTAATAGGCTAAACCTAAATAAAGATTTCTCTTTAGAGTAATTATAAATTAATATATAAATTGATAGTATTTTTTGAAACATGGAATTTGAAACCCTTGTATTGTTTAATTTTAAGATTAAAAAGAGAAAAGAAAAAGGCCTATGATGATGATGATGATCCTTGAAGTATTGTGATGTTAAAAAGGGAAGGGTTGGCAATTAGTGATGCATAATCATGTTGAATGGATGGGGTTATTTATTTTTGCATGATGCAAGACTATTGGTGGCTCTTTGGTGAACATCTTTTGATGATGTCTACTGAAATTATTGGGTTTTCTTTTTGAAAAATCTCATCTTTTTGCTCAAAATGTTTTGGGAACATGGTTTGGTTATTAGCTTCAAATGCAAATGCTTTAATTTTGCTTTTGTGTGAGTTGAGCAAAAGTTTCAGTAATTGGTTTGGTGACAAGTGTTGAGAATTAAGGTCCTACCTTCTTTCAAAATTTACAAATATAATTTATAATTTGTCATTTTTATGTCCTTTTACAGTTTTTTTTTTTTTTGCTAAAAGGAGTGGGTTGAAGAAATGGTAAGATTTACCTCATCTTTCAATTTTTCTATAAAGAGAAAAAGAATAATTTATCAAGTTTTCTTACTCTGTTTTTAGAATTTGTTCTATTCAAATTATGTATAAGAAAAAATGATTAATCTTCTAAACATGATTAACTAAAGTTTTAATTTTTTTTAATTGAAAAAGATGGTGGTATTTGATGTTGGATGATGTGTCAAAGTGAGAACACACAAAGATTATGAATTAAAATACCCTCTTAGATTGTATATTCTTCTCAATTTTATACATGGAACTGAAAAACACATAACCTTTTTTATGAACTTATTTTTGTCCTATTTAATTTTCTTTTTAAAATACACCACAAAATTTGTTGCCTTTCATTCTAACCCATAACTCTAATTTTTTTTTTTTCAAATTTCTAATTTTTCACATTACATTTTACCTTTTTCATTATTATGATAGTTCTAAAGGGATTTACATTTACAATATCATCTTCATGAGAAGCTAGAAAAGATCATTTTTTTTTCATTATTATTATTATTATTAAATTCAAATTGTTTAACGGATAGTGACCAAAAGTATGGGTCACTATCCATATTTCCCTTATTGAGAATGCACAAGATAAGCAACCATTCCAACACTGAAGAAAAGTCTCCACTATTTGACCACATAGCCAATTACATTGCCCATTCTGAGACATATTTTTGTGTGCCCTACCACACCATTACTAGTTACTCACATACCTAGTCAAGTCTATGTCTTCCTCAACTTATTGTGTATATTTATTTGCAATATCATCTTTACACAATTATTTGATTTGAAAATGGACCCACTTACTTAAATTTATTGAAAATGTTTGATTTACCCAAAGAAGTATGTGCAAATCAAATATGCTTTGCTTGACCTAGTTTGTTTCTTATTTCCACACCATAGAAAATTCTCTTGCGGTGCCTTGCACATATAAACAATACTGAACAAACTATATGGTGCTTCCTAAACCTTTGCTTCATTCATTATCTTCTTATTCACATCATGCCATTTGGCCATCTTTCATGGGTTCTTTTACTTTATCTAATAAAATCTCAATTATTATTAGTTTTAAAAAAAATGTATCTATTGGGAGATTGATTGTACACCACATTCATATGTGTGTGTGGACTATGTCCATGACGAATGGCACATTTGTGAGTTGATCTCGTTATTAAAAAATATGTTTTTGCTTGTTTGTATCAATTACTACAAAAGTTGGTGTGTAAAATAAAATGCCTATTTTCCTACGTTGATGTATGAAATAAAAATGATTCATGAGGACTTAAAGGTTATTGAAAATGAAGGGCATGTAGGACATGGTACCTAGTCGTCACCAAAACCATTTCTCTTAGGGTTTGGATTTTGTGGTCAAGTGATGGCACAAGTTAACTGTGAGATAATGATGTTGCAGAAATTAGGGTTTTTTTGGGGTCCAAAACACCACTTGTTGAAAGAGTAAGTGAGGGTGGATAACGATGGATCTGTGGGCCATTTAATGGGTTTATGGATTGGGCTCATTTGTGATGTGAATGTGAAGTGGAGAAGGTGATTTTGATGAAACCATTTTTTCATTTTTTGATTTGGTGAGCGTGTGGGGGACCTTCTAGTAATTGGCTGTGTTGCAGCTGTTACTCTTCTGCTCATTTCCAAATGGGTGGTGGCATGCTCAGAGCCAGGGGTTTCAATTCATCTTCAATCGTTATCCAAAAACATTCAATTTTGCAAATTAGTAACATGTTCTTTTTTTTCTGATGTGCATATTTGATGGAATTCATGATAAATATGTGCTTTAAATCTTCTTTTATGGGTCTCCTTCTCAAATCAATTCCCATAACAGACACATTCCTTGAAAAGGAGCACAAAATATGATCTTTTCATCATTTTTAATATCAACATAATTTTGTGAACCAGAGATTGAAGAACTCATCAAGTTGAAAACTGAAGTAGTAAAAACGATCCTTTTCATAGTGTTATTAATTTCAGCCCAAACACCCAAACATCTTGGTCACATTTAAGGTCACACATGTTCATCCATATGTAGTCTTTTTCATTTTAATTTTTTCCCCTTTCTACCTTTTTGGGTGGGGTTGGTCGTGAAGACAAGCATCATAAGCCAGCTACTGTTCAAAGGATAAGACTCCTAAAACATTATTCTTGTACATGGCTAGCAAGTACTTGGCTTGCCCATTATTTGTTTTTCAACTGTAACAGCAATGTCCTTGTTTGATTTTCATTTTTGCAACATGAAACACAGTACAAAAAGTATGAAATACTACTGTACACACGCATTTTCTCAGATATTTCTTTCAATGTACTTCCAATGGTGGCAATGGGGAAAATTTCAAAACTATTCCTTTCTTGTCTTTTCCCTTTCATAAACATCTTCACATTTTCTCTTTTGCAGGAGAAGCCAAAAGTTAATGACTATGGACCATAAGCCCAATCCAGAAAATGGCCATAAGTCACATGCTTCTAGGAATGGGCAAAGAATGTCATAATTAAATGATGGGCCTAATAATGGCCCAAGAATCTCACTCTGATATGATGGGCCTAGTGTGAACATAGTTTGTTTGGATTATACTATCATCTATCACACATCCTACATAAAAATGTATACAATTTTAAAATACACTTTTACTACAGTGATTTTTTCTTCATAAGTATTTTTACTACAGTTATACCTATAACAGAAATTATAACTTAAAAATGAATACAATATTTATCTAATTTCAGATAGAAATTAATGTAATCTACTCTTCAACTTATTTTTTTTTATTGGAATTATAGTCTTACTTGTTACTTAATTTCCCATAAAAGTAAAAATTAAAAACACCAACATTATATTTGTAGGATTAAATACTTAATAACTATTCAACGAGAAAGGAATTTTTTATTTATTTATCATACAATAACCTTAAATAAACACTTAAAAAAGAAAAAGATATTGTATATAGATTATTCATGTTTCAGTTCTACCCTAAAATACTGGGTCCAGTGGGTGGCGTTATATCCGGCGGGGTACTCGGCGGGGGCACAATCTCCGGTGCCCGCGGCGGATCTAGTTCCGGTGGTGGCTGTGGCACCGTATCCGGCTGCTTCGGCAGTGGTGTGTCAGGGCCGGGTGGGGTCAGAGGCGGTTTCGGGGCATCGGGTTTTGGACTCGGGTATGGGTCAGGACCGGGAGTCGGATTCGTGACAATTTCCGGTGGCACAGCCGGGTTGGCGTCCGGATTCTGGGTCGGAAGCACGGGTTGCTCTTTGGGAACGGGAGAAGGTTGGACTTTTGGGAGGGAAGGGATCTCGGGTGGGGTCCGTCCCGGGTATTCGGGTTTTTGATTGGTGTGAGGGGTGAACATGGTGATTGGGGTGGCGTTTGTGAGAGAAATTGAGGATGATGGAGTTTTGGCAGTGAAAAGGGTGTGGGGAGAGAGAGGAATAATTAGGGTTCTTATCTTGAGAGTTTTTGAGAGAGAGGATGAGATCAACGTGGACATTGACGAAGACATACTCTGCGTTTTTTGTTTCGGTTGTTCGTGAATGACCTATGTTGCCGTTGTTGGTTCTTAACTTTGCATTGCATTGCATGGGAAAACAGTTGTGAGTGTTTCAACACTCCAACGCATCATGCGTGTGTGTTTTGCATGTTCTTCACACACCACGTGGCCAGTAAAAGACAACCTCTTTTTTTGTCTGTTATTAATATTTTTACTTCTTCATAATATTCTAACTAAATATTTTGATTGTAAATAAATGTCTTCACTTTATTTTTCTAAATGAGATTTGAGGCTAATGTTAGTAAAATGATTTATAAAAATAATGTAAAATGGTGTTATTATTCAGCTAAATATAATGTTAATATTTTTAAAAGTTGAAGATAAATTTTGTTGTAAACACATGACCCACCATTTTTTTTACAGCTTTAACTGTTTTTCCGTGATGCTGTTTACTTTAATGTTGCTTCAACGTGACATGCAAGGAGATCCACAATCACAAACACTAATATATAATTACTATTAAAAATTATTTTAATGAGTTAAACTCTAAACATAAAAAATAAACATAAGTAAAATTGATGATTAAACTAAATATCGATTTTATCAAATTTGGATAATCACAATTGTGAAAATAAATTAAAAAATAAAATAAAAGTTAACATAATCAGTATTATGTTAAATTTTTTTTATAAAGAAACATTTTCGTGTAGATCGAGAGTTTCTAGGATACCCTTTAGGACCTGCCTTGAATCCCACGAAAATGTCCCTTACCTTTCAAAAAAGAACATTTCAAGAAAACCCTCTTCGTTAGCCATTATTCACAAAATTGCCACTGACCATTTTACCCTTTTCATTCGTTTCGAACACTGTATAAATTATCGTGTCGTGACGTTACACTTTCACAGTTTCACTCACTCACAGAGATTCACTGGCTCCGTTGTCCATGCACCTGGGAACCTTTATCGCCGGTGCACCGCACCGTTGGGTGCTCCTTCACCAACAACGAGGTAGAAGAGAATGGACGCCAGTGAGAGCGAAGTCGCATGGAGGAGGGAGGGAAGGAGGAGACACTTCATACTTGGAGATGTGGAAGAAGGCGGTGGATAGAGAGCGCAAGAGCGCGCACTTCAATACAATTGCCGAGCGCGTGGCCTCAGCCCCTGACGACGGCATTGCGCGTGACGATTTGGAGAAGAAGACCACCGAGTTCCACAAGCTTCTCCAAATCTCTTCCGAAGAGCGCGATCGCGTTCAGCGGATGCAGGTCATCGACCGCGCCTCCGCCGCCATCGCGGCTGCCAGGGCGCTTCTGCGGGATAGCGACACCGCCAGTTCCAGCGACGATTCCGGCGAAAAACAGCACGGTAGAACTGAATTGCCCCTTTCGAGATCTTTTTCTCTCAATCTTTTATGTTATTCACACAATAATGGAGGAGATAATTGAATAGTAATTAATTAAATAGATAAAAAATATGTTTTCTCTTTATTTACAAAATAACAAGAAAAACAGGTTGTTTATTTTGATGAAGAATGGAAAAGCAGTAATAATTAAGGAAATAAATGCTTCTGTAGTTCTTTATTCCACCAAGGTTTTGAGATAAATATTAACGACTGAAATTAATATCTCGAATTTTGTAAAAGAATAAAAAATAATATTTTTTATCTCTTTAATTAATTGCTCATTTACTTTCATTGTACAGGGTATAGAATAAACGTTTAATGTATCCTTGATTGACAATTGATTTACAGTATTTTATTTTTGTGATCAATTTTTTATGTAGAAAACATTGAATTTAGCATTAGCATTGAGCATGCATTTTTGTGAATTGCGTGAATTTTCAAATTTGCTATCTAACTTGCTCTGCAGATGCTGATACTGGGTTTTGTGGTGGATTTTCTTACCTAAGAAATGGAGTGGTTTAATTTAGTTTGATTTCTAAATGGATATTCTACTTCTGAGATAGTTTTTATTGTTTTCTTCTATTTTAGTTAGCAAAATTTGAAGTTAGCATTGAAATTGAGGATTAATTTGGCGTTTGAAGTTTTTGATCTAATATGCTGTGAAGATGCTATTCCTAATTTACTTGTGGATTTTATTCCCTTAGAAATTGAATGGTATATTTTAATTTTATTTCTAAATGGATATTGTACTTAGGAGATGTTATTGGAAGTGTTGATTTCTTATATATTGATTTATTCTTTTGTTTGTTTGTTTGTTTTTATTATGTGATAGAATTGGGTTCGGGAACGAATGGGACTATTCTTGTGCAAGAGTCAGAAACTCAGGGAAATGGTGTGCCTGGCCCTGATTTTTGGTCCTGGACTCCTCCTGTGGAGAGTGATGTTCCCTCAGATGATAGCAGTGTGTTGCAGCCAAATACCAAACCTTCTGTTCTTTCAACCTTGCCCAGTGCAGTTGCCGAGAAGGAGCGGACACCGCAATTTCTCTCTATTCCATTTGAGAGTAGTCATACTCTTCCACCCTTTCAGTCGTTTTTGGAGGTTGGGAAAGCCGAATCTGCATCCGAACCAGATTTACCTTCCTTGTCTCTTTCCGAGGAAGAGGAACAGATACGTGATGAATCATTTTCTGGCTACGCAGAAGAAGCAGCACATGCCCTTAGTGAAGCCAATAAATCGTCACCTATTGGAGTGAATCTGGATGGATCAAGATGGTGGAAAGACACTGGAATTGAGCGAAGACCTGATGGTGTGATCTGCAGATGGACAATGACCAGAGGTGTTAGTGCTGACAAAGAGATTGAGTGGCAAGAGAAGTACTGGGAGGCTTCAGATGATTTCGGCTATAAGGAACTTGGTTCTGAGAAATCCGGCCGTGACGCAAATGGAAATGTTTGGCGTGAATTTTGGAGAGAATCCATGAGTCAGGTTAGCAAATTTTGACACATTTTAATTTGCATTGAAATAGCTTTCTTCTTATATTATAGTGTGTCATATTTGCTGAAATATGATCAGCATATTTCTGGTACTCAACATTACTGCTTCCATTCACACATTTATTCTTCTGTGGAACAGACATCTGTTTTTTAAGCTCTTGTGTGATTAATTGCTACTGTACCTTGCCAATCATTAATGCATTAATTGTGCTGTAGCCACAGCACTAATAGATCTTCCCTTGCAGGAAAATGGGCTTATGAATTTTGAGAAAACTGCAGACAAGTGGGGAAGTAATGGGAAAGGTAATGAGTGGCAGGAAAAATGGGGGGAACGCTACAATGCCGCCGGTCAAACAGAAAAATGGGCAGACAAGTGGTGCAGTATTGACCCAAACACACCACTTGAACCTGGACATGCTCATGTTTGGCATGAAAGGTAATTGTCGAGAAAATTAGATTATAATTGAAGCTTGAAGTATTTAGTCCTCACTGTTTTAAAACATTTAATAATCTGTTAAAGTGTATATTTGTTCACGACTCCTTCGACAGCAAATGATACTTTGTACAACTTTTGGGAGCGTTTAATAAGAGTTAAACTCGCAACGTGATGACACAGACTGAATTACTCTGAACCCAGTTTATGTTTTTTCCATGCTATCAAACCAAAAAATTTTAGTCTGCAATATATTTGTATAAATTTAAGGAAGTATGTTTTCAAAGTCAGAATGTTTACTCTGTCTAAGCATATATATTCATCAGGGTATTTTAGAAAAAAAAAAAATATATATATATATATACATATATATATATATATATATATTTTTTTTTTCAAACATGGTGTTCTAAGCTTTAGACAATTTGTTTTTTCTTTGAAGCTTGATTTTCTCGTATGATATAAAAGGTGAAAGAGTGTTTCTCACTGATCTGCTGTGTGATTTGAGAATTCCATGTGGAGATTTTGATTAAGAGAAATGGTTTTGGCAGGTGGGGTGGGAAATATGACGGGTATGGTGGGAGCATAAAATACACTGACAAATGGGCTGAACGGTCAGTGGATGGTGTATGGGAGAAATGGGGTGACAAATGGGATGAAAACTTCGATCCAAATGGTAATGGCGTGAAGCAGGGGGAGAGCTGGTGGGAAGGTAAGCATGGAGAACGCTGGAACCGAACATGGGGCGAGCAACACAATGGATCTGGTTGGATTCACAAGTACGGCAAGAGCAGTTCTGGGGAACACTGGGACACACACGTCAATGAAGAAACCTGGTACGAGAAATTCCCTCATTATGATTTCTTTCACTGCTATGAAAACTCTGTCCAGCTCAGGCAAGTTCCCCAACCATCTGAAATTCTGGAATCTCCCAAACCATCTCAAGTTCTGGAATCAGAAATACAGCAAGTTGAGGAACCTTGATTAGCCATCACCATCTCAAAACACGGGAACCTTAATATGTACTAGTTTCAGAACTGAATAATGTCTTCTTCCTTGTCTTCAATTCAACACATTAAGATATACACGTCTTCATCTTTTTATGCCTAAAGCTGTTAATGTAATTTCCACTAAAAATTAGATTTTTATTTGTTGTAAGAGTATAAAGCGATTGTTCATTCCTTAAAATAATATGAATATTATATAAATATATTTTTTAAAATATACTTATCATTCATGTCAACGATGAGGAGTTTTTGTTCTCCCTTAACTCTATCCATTGCCACTCGGTAGTCCTTCACTGTTAATTATGTATACAAATTGAAAGTCAATTAAAGAGAACAATAGATGCTATTAATTACTAATATGAATATTTTACTATATTAAATATGAATAAATTAAAGAGATGCATCGTTTTAAAATTATGGATAAGAATGATTAAATCAGTCTTCATTATTGACAATCCAAAATGAAATTTAAACTAAGATTGACTAACGTTATAAAATTTTAAAAACTATGGATATAAATGATTAAAATAATCTTTGTTGATAATCCAAAATTTAAATTAAAATTTAAATTAAGATTTATTAGCATTATAATGGTTTGAAATTTCAGTTTATTTAGACAGATAATGTATCCTCAAATTTAAATTTTAAAATTTTTAAAGAATAAATATTATAAATAAAAATAAAAGTAATTGATTATTTAATTAAAAAACGTCATACAAGTTAATAAGGATAACCGTGACGTCTAAATATACTTTAGTTCTTCAAGAATAAGAAATTTGATCTATAATATAAGTGTAAACTTTAGTGACCTAGTGACCTTGACTCTAATTTACAGAATGGAGGTTAATGTACGGTACGAAACTAGTAAACACAGAAATTCCAAAACGTTTGAAATTGAAGTGTGGTGTGGCACAAGTGCCAATTCATGTGATGATGTGGTGGCCACAAGTGGCAAGCATAGGCTAGCACCAGGATTATGTGGTGCATATCCACCAATCTTTGTCTTTCTCTCTCACCGCATAATCCTTCTTACACTACATAAACTATCAACAGTTCCTTTCCATTTTGGTAACAATTCCACACGCAATGTGCCATTCATTGCTACTGTAATATTTTTACCCCTTCTTCATATATATCAGTTATGGCCTCCTTAATGCTCAGTGGAGCTCAAAATCCAAAGCTCATCACTGGCTTAGGCTCAACTGGTCTTAACTTCAACAACAAGTGTTTCTTCAAGAAGGGTCTGCTGTCTCATTACAAGTTCAGGGTCAGAAAAACCATGACCCCCAGATGCAGCATCTCAGCCTCTAGGCCTGCTTCTCAGCCTAGGTTCATCCAGCACAAGAAGGAGGCATTTTGGTTCTACAGGTTTCTGTCTATTGTGTATGATCATATCATAAACCCGGGGCACTGGACTGAAGACATGAGAGATGAGGCACTGGAGCCTGCGCATCTTTATAGCCGTAACCTGAGAGTGGTTGATGTTGGAGGTGGAACTGGCTTCACAACTCTTGGAATAGTGAAGCATGTGGATGCCAAAAATGTTACAATTCTTGACCAATCACCCCACCAGCTTGCCAAGGCTAAGCAGAAGGAGCCCCTGAAAGAATGCAAGATAATCGAGGGGGATGCAGAAGATCTTCCATTTCCTACTGATTATGCTGATAGATATGTTTCTGCTGGAAGGTAACAACAATATTGGCTTTGCCACTTTTTACCTTTGAAGGCCATTGCATCTGGCCGTTAGGAAATTTATCTGATCTAGGGTCATGATTAACTATTCAAACTAAGTCTTCCTTGCGGATTTTTTGTAGAGTTGACTTGTAAACTTGAATAAAAAAAAAAATGTCGATGCATGGCCAGTGTTATTATATTTTAATCTTAACGAGGGACTTTTGCCTTTTACAATATCTAAAAAATTCTGGTCTTCTAAGTGATAAATCTGCATCATGTGCAATGTTAGCTAGTTTTATATGTTTCATATCCTCCCCCTTATGTATTATTATGACTTTTGAATTATTGTTGCAAATGTAGCGATCAAACTCATAAGAGAGGTAAAGAGCATATTGATATCTATGAGGCAACTTATTGAATTGATTGAAATAGGTTAGAAAATGAAGGGCAAATTCTCCTATTTATAGATCTTACTGTCTCTATCCACATAACTAACTTCGTAACAATATATTTAATCATATAGTCTAATAAGTATGACTGTGTTGTTCAGTATTGAATACTGGCCAGACCCGCAGCGTGGCATTAAGGAAGCATACAGAGTGCTGAGGATAGGAGGAAAAGCTTGTGTTATTGGTCCTGTTCACCCAACATTTTGGTTGTCTCGATTCTTTGCAGATGTGTGGATGCTCTTCCCCAAAGAGGAAGAGTACATCGAATGGTTTAAAAAGGCTGGTTTCAAAGATGTTGAGCTCAAAAGGATTGGTCCAAAATGGTATCGTGGGGTGCGCAGGCATGGTCTCATCATGGGTTGCTCAGTCACAGGAGTGAAGCCTTTGTCTGGAGACTCTCCCCTCAAGGTATGTATAATATTGCTTTTTCTTTCTTCTCCCTTTTTTATCTTAAGATTCATATTACATTTCACCTTTTGCTTTTGTCAAACACACACACACATATAGCTTAAGATTCATATATAATGAACAACAACTTAGTATTCACAAAGCATAACACAGTCTATTCTGAAGACTATGTTGCCTTGTTGCAATTTTAGTGCAATTTTTGAAGCATGGTTTCATTTGGCTTGATGCAGCTTGGTCCCAAGGTAGAGGATGTAAAGAAGCCTGTAAATCCACTAGTGTTTCTTTACCGGTTTATTCTTGGTGTGATTGCATCCACTTACTTCGTACTAGTGCCAATCTACATGTGGATCAAAGACAAAATTGTTCCACGGGGCATTCCCATTTAAAGTTGGAGAAAGTAGAGTGGTCCTGTTTCCACCTATACATCTCAAAACAACTGTTTGTGAAGGATAACAATTCAACATCGTACTTGAACCTTTCCATCTTGCCACATAGGAGGAAAGAGTTGCTTCAATTTGACATGCTTCAAAACCATTAGCTTAGTTTTGTGCCATTAGTAGCTTTATCTGTTCTGTTGAAGAGGATTCTACAGAAGCAGAAGCTACGCTGAGTTTAATTTGTTTTTGTGTTTGGCGCTTTGGCAAAGAAATATAGAATGTGAGATGTGGCAGCTTCTTGTTCAATGAACCATGTCAGGATCAGTAAAACGTGCTTCTTTCGTTCTTTGTGTTGTTCCAAATGGACAAGACAGGGTAACTATGACTACATTGGAATATGATTGTTTTAACCTTGTTATTTTTATTCAATATTAATAATATAATTTACTTTTTATATGATGTTATTGATACTATAATATTAAAGAAAAGTTATATTTGTGTAATTTAATTTTTGAACGAGAATCTTGATTTATAAGTAAAGATGTCAGTACAGATCAAATTTGTAATATTTATTCAATTTAAGATAAAAATTTAGCAATTCTGATTGAACAAAGAAAAATGTTAACATAATTTTGTGATATTAATGTTAAAACTTATTATCAAATATTGTTATTAACAGTGCTACTAAAAACTTATATCAAGCCTGTAAATGCAAATAGATTATAGTGAAAGGAAGGAAGTTAGGACAGTGGTTATGGAGTTTTGACCATTTCCAATGAAAAGTACATTCTTCACACGTACATGCCATTGCTTTTCTTTTTCTTCAGAAATTACTTACAACAACACTACGCCTCTTTTCTAATTCTCAAACCGCGTTTACAAAGTTGATCTTTTCTCTGACCCTTTCAATGGATGCCTTTTTCTGTCACCTAAACATCAACCCTTCCAGCTGTCAAAATTTTATCCCTGATATAATATATGTGCATGCATTAAACAAATATCAATGCATGCCCCACAGTCACCTTCACCTTCACCCCATGTTTTTGGATAGAGATGAACCAAGCCAGGGTTGCAATTAATCTTATTCTTTTCACATCACTAAACCACAACCATCACCACACCACAACACAGTCATAAACGTGCTTTGACTACCATACTTTTCTTTTCAAATATTGCAATTCAAAAACAAATCTTTTCATTAGTCCTTTCCACACTTGAGCCTTTCCCCCCTACAAATACCCCTCCAGCTAAGGTTGAGATACCTATATACACACTGCATATCTATCTTCTGAGTCTCACAAAAACACACCATGGCAGATGTTCTCAGTCAAGAACAGATTGGTGAGATCAAAGAAGCCTTTGGCTTGTTTGACAAAGATGGAGATGGTGAGTTCCTTCTTTGTTTATGCATTATCTATGATTTTCTCTTTCACTTTTAATTGTGATTCTGCCAATACACAAATTCTCTCAAAGATATTACACTAAACTATAACCTTCTGGTATGTAACTGTCTACCATATTATATATAGTTTGTGTATAATAAATTACACTAATCTTTTATTTGACTAGTCATTTTCAGAAACATAACAATGGTAAGTTATATTTGTTATGTTATGTATAATAAATAACCATGTGTACTTAATAGGGTGCATTACTGTGGAAGAATTGGCCACTGTTATCCGATCACTGGATCAGAACCCCACAGAAGAAGAGCTCCAAGATATGATAAACGAGGTCGATACAGATGGAAATGGAACCATTGAATTTGCTGAGTTTTTGAACTTAATGGCCAAGAAAATGAAAGTTAGTATATTATACTCTTCATTCCCTTTATTTTTCTTTTTTACTACAGTTCGTATTGCATTTTTTTGCAAAGATTAATAATATCCTTGTCATTTTTCTCATTTAGGAAACTGATGCAGAGGAAGATCTCAAAGAGGCTTTCAAGGTGTTTGACAAAGATCAAAATGGTTACATTTCAGCAAGTGAGGTATATTTTTATTGCAATTTTCTTTGTTTGACGGCAATGAAAAATCAAAGTATTCTAAGGGTTTCTTCAAACTTGAACAAAAAGCAAGTAGGGTCAAGATGTTGCAAAGTGCAAACTAGATTCCAACTCATGAATCTCTTTCAATATTTTTCTATATAAACGTGCGTTTACTTTTTGGGCAACGTAGCAGAGGCTGCATATGCACATTTTTTTTCTTATAAAGTTTCCACCCATCAGGTTTCAACCCATCTTAGTCAAATTTCCTCCTTCAATTATTGATTTTTATGCGTTGTCACTTTTTCATTTGGAATTGAATTATATAACATGATAACTTTCTTTGATTTAGGATTCAGATAAGTCATGTGGATGAAATTTAAGCACATATCTTCAGACATGCATGATTCAATCTTATACTCGTGCATATAACAGTTTGAGTAAAGAATATCTCTGTATATTAATTTTTTTTTAACTTATTCTATAAATTGCTTCCTCCATTCCACAACTATTTATAAAATGACCTTGGTTATTATAAGATTTAAATGGGATTTGTTGAAGTGTTTTTAAAGAAGTTATAAATGCAGTATTATGTGTAAATATAAATCTAGACAGTTTAAATAAAGGCATATAAGGAAACAAAAATAACATTTAAAATTTATAAAATATCCATAACTTTGAAATAAAACATGAATAACCTTAGAAAAGGTACATTAATTTCACATGCACATTAAGGACAGTACTTTGTACCTTTCTGCATAATAGGAGGAAGAGAATCTTGCTTTCAGTTTTCACTCTTAAATTTTAGTTATAAAAAGAAAATAAAAAGCCTGGTTTGTTTTTGCAGTTGAGACATGTGATGATGAATCTTGGTGAGAAATTAAGTGATGAGGAGGTGGAGCAGATGATTAAAGAAGCAGATTTGGATGGAGATGGTGAGGTTAATTATGAAGAATTTGTGAAGATGATGATGACAATTGGATGAAAATCTCTTCACCCACCACCAACAAATTAATATGTCTTCCTTTTAATGTTTAATGCATTGATTTGTTCAAAACTCCAATCCAACCCATTATTATTATTATTATTAATTTTAGTTTTAGTTTATCATTCCTTATGTTTTCAAATTAATTAGAGTTAATTTATTTAAGAAAATTGCTACTTGTGTTGGCTCTAAATCACACCCACAACACACTCTGTCTCACATTCTTGTTTGTTTCTAAGACTTGAGTTATTTCTTCAATCACTTTTCGTACTTTCAAATTTTAGTCTCTAAGATCCAACCACCTTACAAATATGTCTTTTTTAACAAAAAAACACGACACAAACACAACCATTAAGTGCATGTGAAAATCAATTCCCACCCCACGTTATTGCTGAATGAGAACCCTTTCAGCTCATACTCTCGGACTTTGACCTAAAAAATCAGTGGTTGGCTTGGAGTTGGACACACGTGATTTACCAACAGAAAATTTATGGAGCAAGTTTGTCACTTTCTTCACTTCCAACAACATCATACTATTTTTGTTTTCATCTCTATCTTTATGAAATACCCTTTATATATATATATATATATATGGATGGCTTTATGAAAGAAAAAGCGACTTAACTGTATATAGAGAGCTTGCACTTAGCTGTCTTATGCAGGCGGTGACACCAGTGTTCTTATGTTTGTAGTGTTCTCATGTAATGTTTGTCATTACCAGCAGAGGCCACTTAAATCTGACACACCTTGTTGCCTTTGATCTTTTATCGTTATTAGACATTGTTGTGTTTTTAGTTTTTAATAATGTCAATTTGATCAGAGTTCAATTACAGTTTAGTCATTCAATTTTAAATTAGTTTTGACAGACTTAATCACCACACCAGTTCAGTTTATATAAGAAGATTGTGAATGATATGTAGAGTGTGTGAATAAAGAAGAGTATGTTGGAGTGGTAGAGGCAATGGAATCATGTGACTGATTTTGAACTGCATTAACTTCTGTAAGCGTGTGCCTTTGATCTCTGAAACCCTTATTTTGTGGATCGGGAAATACAATTTTATACTTTTATTTGTTTAATTGTCTTAACAAATGAACACGAGTTTACCACAACGGCACGTATTTAAACCAAAAACAAATGTTCAAGTTGGCATAGAGTAAAAAAATCAAAACAAGAATGAGGTTTTATGAGTATAATTCTCCAAAATCAATGTGAAAAAAAAAAGGTTACAACATAAAATCAAAGACAGAAAAGTTGCTCTCTCTACATTTGTGAAATCTCTCAATGTAAAATTTCACAAGGGACCATTTCATCTTGAACTTGCATCACAAAATAACCACGGAAAAAACGAATGATCATGGCTGCTGCTCTGCACTCTCTGTTGGTTGAACTCATCATGATGCCAAATTGCCAATCTCCAGATCAAAACTTCACTTTCAAAAAATAAAATTACAATACTTTAAATTGAAGTCACCGTTGCAATTTCTCTGCGATCTTATATTAGGGAAGTTGTAGAATGCCACGGATGCGGTTGCAATTGCAGTCACATCGTGGTCATGAAATCTCCAAAACCTTGACGTTGTAGCCACTGTTGCAATTGCGGACTGTTTATAAAACCTCGATAAATGTGAAAAAAAAAAAAAACACAACACAAAGGAGAAAAGTAAAATGGAATGGTAAGTGTAATTCTCAAGGTACTGTTGCACAACACATGCAACTGCAGAAGAAGGAAGACCGAGGCTTTCGCTTCTCTTTTGGCTTAGGTAAAGTAGATGACACTGTATTCTTTGTGCCAACATGGTTGTCTTGTATCTGTGCCATGCCTAGAAGATGAGCTTCTTCCTCTTCTTTTAAGAGGCCTATGAATGGGGCTTTAGATTTCTTTGAGTAACTTCTTTCCATAGTAACTATTTTCTCTTCCACTGGCATTTCTTCGCTGTGTAACATGCACTGCTCATATTGAGCATGAGGCATTGAGTTGACGAGATTCAGACTAGTCTGTTTTGATAAGCTTTCATTTGCAGACTTATTCTGATGAAGCAAAGGAGTCTGATCCGATTCTTCAGGCCTTGCTTCCTTTCTGAGGTTGAGATTGAAGCTTGGTGACTTTTGCATCTGACAAGAGGTGTTTGAATTGTCAGGGTTTGATTCAGTACTGAGCCTTGTTACACTGTCCCTTGTTTCATAGCCACCATTTTCAAATATGGACTTGTTTGAACATGGTTCAATGGACATGGTAACTGTTGAAGTTGTTAGTTCTCCCCCGGCAGATGAAGCTACTTCTGCATGTTGTGGATCTTCTTCTCCTTCTTTCTCAAATGTTTCATCACCAACCAAGTCCACTGATGGAACTGTTAACTTAGAAGAATCAAGGTTGTCAATGGTGTGGCCAAAGTTCTTGGTCTTATTTGTTTGCTTCCAATCTAAGCTTGGCATGCTGGTAGCAGTAAAACTTTTGTCTTGCTTTACATTTCCCTGATGATCATCATAGATATGCAACAAAGAGGAATTATTTTGCAACAAAGATTCTTCCTGATTTTTAGTTATCAGATCACAGTTGCATTCTTCTGACATTTTTGTGTCCTCCAAATTATTTACCATGACATGTGAAGCTTCTGGCTTTTCATTTGTTTCTTCAATTGTACTCTTGTAACTCTCCCCTTCATGTCTGCAATTAACTACAGTTAACCCTTCAATAAGAGAAATCCTTTTGGCTTCAGGATCCAAATAATGTTTTTCTTCTGAAGCAGCATTACTTTCCTCTGAAGAAGCCTTGTTTTTGTTGATATAAGCATCAAATGGTACTCCATTCTCAGTGACTTTAGGTTCTTCAACTTGATCATTGGTGACAAGCCTGGAGACATTAGAATCAGGTGACACATTTCTTTCTCCATCAGACCCTATTGCCATATCACATGTGTACACCATGTTGTATTCTTTCAATGAATCTTTCATGCATTGCTCTGGCTTGCAATCATATGAATTCTCCATTGTTGATTCGCTTCTGCTCAATATAGTTTCTCCATATAGTACCTTGCAATTTTCCTCATGGTCAACCTCAAGTGGACTATCTACAATGGAAGATTCAAGTGGTGATATTAGGGAACCCTCAGTAGTATAATTTACCTTGGTCGATGAATTACCATTCGTCGTGGTGTCGATACTTAGGGAATCAAATGTGGTTCCAGAAATATCTATCAAATTGCGGCCAAACTCATTTCCATCTTTACCACCTGACTTGTCAGTACATAATTTTACATGGGATTCCATTTCTTTTGCTAAACCATCATCCTTAATATGCTCAGAATGAGAATTAGTATCTAAGGAATTATCTACTAGGAGTGAGTCTGTGCCTAGAAATGATTGTTCAGAGAGAAATTTGTTTGGCTCAAGCTCAACATGGTCAGAATGTAGACTTGATTCTTGAATCTTTATATTATTTGAGATGTTCACAGCACTCAGTGTTAAAACTGTTTTGTCCTTTTCATCTGCCAGAATTCAAAACAAGAAAACGAATAGATCTTAAATTTTCATTGTGGGCTTACAATCTCTAATAATTTAGAATCTTAACTTCAAAATTAAAATCTAAAGCATTTCAACAAGTGGATCTAATCTGACACTAATAAAGTAAATATGGATAATAAGGCTATCAAAATATTAACAGAATTGTCCTAACCTTGTTGGATTGGAGGATCATTATTAAGGTGATGAATATATGTTACTAATACGTGTTCTCTCAAGCTTGACTCTTCTTGCTTCTCGTATTCTTCAGTGTCTTCCAGTGAAGAACTTGTCAAGCTCTCAGAGTTTCCACCTTCAGCTTCAACTGATCCATCATTTCGAGAGTTTTCAGGTTGACTGAGTTCAGTTACTTCATCCCCTATAAAACAGGATCATAAGTCTTTCTTATAAATTACACTTAGAATTTGGGCTTAAGACCTAACTCAACTGGTATTAATCAGGTAACTCTTGATAAGACAGTCAAAATATTAACGGAATTGTCCTAACCTTGTTGGACTGAAGGCTCATTATTAAGTTGATGGTTATATGTTACTAACAAGTGTTCTCTCGAGCATGTCTCTTCTTGCTTTTCATATTCTTCAGTGTCTTCAAATGATGAACTTGACGGGTTCTCAGAGTTTCCACCTTTAGCTTCAACTGGTTCATCTTTTGGAGACTTTTTAGGTTGTCTGAAATCAGTTATTTCACCCCCTATAAATCAAAATTATAAGTATTTTTTATAAATTACTCTTAGAAATTGTGATTAAGGCCTAACTCAACTGGAACTAATCAAGTAAATGTGGATAAGACTACTAAAATATTTAGAAATGGTCCTAACCTTGTTGAATTGAAGGCTCATTATTGAGGTCATGATTATCTGTTATTAACATGTGTTCTCTCGCGCATGTATCTCCTTGCTTCACATATTCTTCAGTGTCTCCCGCTGAAGAAATTGACAAACTCTCAGAGTTTCCACCTTCAGCTTCAACTGATCTATCATTTGGAGACTTTTCAAGTTGTCTAACTTCAGTTATTTCATCCCCTACAAAACAGAATCATTTGCAATTTTTCATAATTACTCTTAGACTTTGGGCTTAAGGCCTAACTCAACTTGCATTAAGTTAATGTTATTAACAGAACAGTCTTAACTCCTTACCTTGTTGGATTGAATGCTCATTATTAAGGTAATGATTACATGTTACTAGCAGGTGTTCTCTCAAGCATGCTTCTTGGTTCTCATATTCTTCAGTGCCTTCCAATGAAAAACTTGACAAGATCTCGGAGATTCCACCTTTAGATTCAACTGATCCATTGCTCGGAAACTTTTCTGGTTGTCTAACTTCAGTTATTTCATCTCCTATAAAACAGAATTATAAGTACGTTTAAGAATTATCCTTAGAAGTTGAATTTAGTCTAATTTAACTTTACATAACCAATTTGTAAACAAGGACTGCCTAAGCATTATAAGAACTATATTAGTCATTTTTATAGTGTATATGGGATCTTAACACAACCTTCTCATGCTGAAGACTGAACATTTGGAGTTGGACAAATGCAGGTGGCCGTATAACACCACCCGTTAAGTAGACATCTAGAGCATAGAAAAACAAAGGTGGCCCAAAAACAGATTTTGGTTAAACTTTAATACCATTTTAAAATTTGGACTTAGGAAACTCAATCCCACAAAACCAATTTGTACGATAAGAATTGCCTAAGGCTTATAATGACTACATTGATAGTATCTCTAGTCTAAGTGAGATTTGAACAATTACTATTAGTTATTTATATGCATCATTTTGAAAGAAATTACTAACCTGAACCTTCAAAAGGATTTGTCAACTTCAATGGAGCATCGGAAGCTGAGATGATAGCTTTTTCCTGGACATCTATGCCATTGGCACTAGGGTTTACTTCACTAGCATCTTGTTTATCTTCATGAGGTTTATCTTCAAATTCACTTGTTTTATCATCAAAATCCAGCCTTGCTTCTAAGTGTAGCTGATCAAATTTGTTTTCAACTTTTGGGTCCTTTTGATGATTTATATTGACATCATCCTCAGGAGCATCTCCTTCCAATAAATCATTTTCAAGTGAACTTCTAGAATGGTGGGAAGTCATTCCTGTAGCCTTCTCCTGAACATCTTCAACTTCAGCAGTTGGATGCATTTTATTTTCCATATTCATGTCATTTTTGCAAGTATCTTCTCCCAACAGATCATTTTTAAGCATGCTTTCTGTATTGTTAGAATTTAGCCCGGTGAGTTCCTCCTGAAAATCTTTGGCTTCTTCCTCCAAAACATCTTTGGCTTCATCTGTTGGAATCATGTTCATGTTTTCTTTCATACAATCCTCATGACTATCTGCTTCCTGTATAACTTTTCCAAGTTCAGTTGTTGCATCTTCAGAAACCAGTGTTGCAGCTTTCTCCTGAACACTTTCAGCCTCAGCTGTTGGAGGCGTTTGATTTTCTATATTTACATCACTAGCATCACTATCTCTTTCCATTGAATCGTTTTCAAGCACTCTTGTTGTGTGGTTAGAAGCAAACCCTTTAGCTTTCGCTTGAGTATCTTCATCTTTGGCTTCATCTGTGGTAGTTGGTTGAGTCTTCTCTTTTACATCTTCTGCATGACCCTCATCTTTCCATGTATCTTTCCCTGGTTTTGTTATATCAATGGAAGATTTTTCCATTACATCTTTCACTATAGATGTTTCATTAGTATCTTCTTGTAAACTTCTTTTCTCGGCTTCACTTAAGTTATCTTCCTCTGCATAATGGAAAACAAAATTAATTGTTAAAAGTAGGAAGCATAGTACTGTACTTCACCAAATTTTCTGCAGCATTCAACATGTACCTTTGATAGCTGATGTGTTGTTATTACCCATTTCGTTGCCCATGCTCAGCTTTCCAAATCCTGCAATATAACCAATGTAAAGAGATTATGCTATAATCTCCACACAACTGACTTGCTTATAATAGAAAAAGATATATCAATTAAAACCGCTCCAAGTTCAAAATCTCCAAGAACAAGAAGGCTATTCCATACCATGATAGTGATACTGATGATGATGATGCTCACATGGTCTTAACTTTAGACAATGGAGGACAGCTTGATTTCTGTGACATTGCCAGAGTGTTTATAGCCAGTAACATGCTCTTGCTTACTCCATATTTCTCATTTTGGGTCAGTATGTTTGCCTAATTATCACACCCTTAATTGATTTGATCATATATAAAACGTCATCTTTATTTTCCTATCTGGCATTACAAACTTAGACCATGATTACTTCATAATCTAAGATAATGGACCAAATAAAGTTAACTTTCGGTGAGTCCATGATCATTAAGCAACCTTAGCCTATCACTGGCCTATACCCTATACATATACATATGAGTATTCTTTAAAATGTTTTTAAAAGTAGTTATTCAAGGAAACCATGATGGTTGGCTTAACCCTCCCAAAAATATTTGCAAACTGATTAAAGAGTGGGCTATTACGATTTAACAACTTGGAACAAATCATCATTGTTCATAGGCTGTTTGTTGTTGAGCTTTTGGGAATACATCTTCAACCTCAAAGGACTTTCCATGTGTTTAAGAAAACTTTCCAAGTGTTTTTGCTTTTATAAAGGAGGTAAGGGTTCTGTTGCACTGTATGAATGGACAAAGGACCCAATGAACCATATATCAGACAGGTAGGATCTGGGGACATGTCCTTTAACAATTGACAAAGAATGAGAGTCACAGCAGAGCCATTGTCTATTTATTTTTCCATTTGTGAAGAGAATGGTGTGATGATCATGATTAGGATCGAGTAATTAGGTATGTTGTTTCTTAATTATTTTGTTTTTACATAAAGTTCATTCTTTGTATGCAAGGTGGCTTGGGAAACAAGCACCGTAATTTTTGGCATTAGACTCATCATTGCATGCATTATTTCTCTGTACTTGCTACTTTTCTATATGATAAGAAGTTTAACAACTCACCTTCCTCAATTGTTCAACTCTAGGAAAGGAACACACACAAAAGTTGATGGCTTTTGTCAATCAAGTGATATTTTTATATGACATAGCTTTTGTCATTGTCATCTTATTTAAGGAAACGATATAAAGATTGATTAAATGAGTACAACAGATACATTAAATATGATGTAGCAGATTGCAAACATGGCTCCTTAAAAAAATGTTTTTTTTTTTTTTTTTTTTTTTTTTAAATTAACCTTAAAAATCTATTCCTACGGAATTGACTCCGGGAATTGGTGAAGAATTTGAGGAGTGGGTGCAAAGATGTGGCGCCCAAATCAAAATGGGATTTGGTGAATTTAGGGTTGGAAAAGAGGAAGAACTCAATTCTCTTAGAAAGTTATGTGATTATCTTCTTTTCTTAGAAAGAGTGTGTTGTTGATTGGATTTACTGATCTAAATATGCTTCTCTTCTATTTAAATAGATTGCATTGATTTTTTTATTTTTATTTTTTACGTGTTGATCAAATGGAACTCAATTCAATTTAGGTGAATTATTTCTTAGAGAATTTTAAAAAATTGGTGAATTTCTATTTTTATATATGAAATACATTAAATTTTAATTTAAGACTTAATTTACCTAATTAAAAATATTAAATAATATTAATAATAATATAATTTTTATTTAATTTATTTAATTAATATATTATTTATATATATATATATATATTTAAACTTTATATTATGAAATTATTTAAATTATAAATAATCTATTTTATTTTAAAAATATATTCAAAAATATAAAATATATATTTTAAAATAAACTTAATAAAAATATTTTTTTAATTTATAACTCAATTAATTTAATTTAATTCCATAAATTTGAATTGGATTTGATTAAATTAAAAAATATATATGTTATAATCCGATCCTTCCCCGACTAAATTTTTTTATTCAATTAAATTATAAAATTTAGATTAATTCCATCTAATTTCTACCAAATATTTCACCGATATTATAATAAATTTAAATTCAATTGATCTTTTAATAACTTATAAGATATCTTATATTTATGATGAAGTTTTTTTATTATAACTTAAATATATTTGTGGTCATTGTAAAACAATTAGTTTTGATTTTAATTTCTAAGATTTTATTTTTTTTATCGTTTCTCTAAGAAGGGGTAACTCAGACCAGTGTCTCAACAGAGAAGCAAAGTTGAAGAAGAGTCCGTGGTCCATGATGCGTTCTCAACTGCTGAAGTCGAACACCAAAACCCTTCCAAGGCCAAAACGTCGCCGCCAACGACTCAAATCGTGGCCTATTGCATTCTCCCCTTTTGCTCGCTCTCTCGCTCGCATGACCTCTCTATCTACGCCTAAACGTCACCCTCAAAACCCTAATCCCACTCTCCCTCCTCGTAAACCCCAATCGTCCCAGTCTTCCCACCATCATTTCGATGTAAGACCTCTTATCTCATTCCTAATGTGTTTTCTTCTGAAGAAAATGTTTCTGATTCATCATTGAGCTGCTAAGATTAATCGGAATAATGTACGTGTTGTTTAAGGGAGTTGTCCAAGAAGATTCTTCCAAACGGGAACAGTCCGAGACTTCCGACGAGGATTTTGATGTGAGACCTCTTACCTAACCCTTTTGTATTAGTATAAACTGTTTCTAATTCAATTTTGAAATACTAAGATCATGGTTTTTCGAAAAATGGTCTTGCTGGTGGGTGACTTCCTTGCTTTCCTTCATGTAGTGGGAAATTAAATGCAATAGGTGTAGCCACACTTGCAGTAGCAGACACTCCAAAAACTTTGATTTTGTGGCCGAAAACATGGTCACGAACCATTTTTTAAAACCTGAACGAAGTTTAATTGAAATATTTGTGTTGTTATAGGGAGTTATTCAAGCAGATTTTTCGTTTTTCGATCCCAAACCTGATGATTTTCATGGAGTGAAGACCTTGCTGCAAACCTACCTTGACAATGAAGAATGGGATTTGAGTGCCTTTGTAGACTTGATTTTGGGGCAGACCACCGTGGGGACTGTTGTTAAGATAGAGGATGATGAGGATGAAGGAATCTTTGCTATTGTTACTGCTCTTAATTTATATAGATACAGGGTAACTCTCCTTCTCTTATTCAACAAACTTGCTTTCAATGCTTTGTGACTAGTTTAGCAATTAGCATTAACTTTTTAAACTGCTGTAAATACTTTTGCTAGGAGCATAGATGTATTGTGACACTCATGAATTTTCTTCTACATAAAGTGCGCCAAGGGAGGGATGTTGCTGACAAGTTGAGATTGCTTTTGGGGGAGCAAGCACGTGATGTTGCTCTCCTGTTATCTCAGCGCATGGTGAACCTTCCTCCCCAGCTTTTGCCACCACTTTATGAAGCCCTCTTCGATGAAGTGTTGTGGGCCACAGAAGATGAGGTTAGATGTCGGTAGTATCACATTGGTGAGGGTGTTACTTTGTGTTTCTGTTTGACTGCTAGAGATGGTTTTCCTATTTAGAACTTAAACTGTTGTCTTTAACAGCCAACGGAGGAGCTCCGGAATTCCTTCAAGTTTAAGCATTATATAATACTTAGCAAAATTTATATGGTATGTATGCTGCTGTAGTATCTTCCCTTGCTTTTTGTAGCTTATGTTAAGATAGTTTGTATATGTTTCAATTTCATTGTTCCCTGACATTTTACTTATCTTTGGGTGTCAAAATATAGCTCAAGAATGCAGAACAGAAAACAAAACGGAACAATGATAGTGATGAGGGGATAATATATTTAAAGCTTGAGGATGAAATATTTCACAAGGTATTGATATTTTCTGGTATCTTTTTGATTTATTTTTGTTTCTGATTACTGATTGTTTTCCAAATAATTTCCAGTTAAGCTCATGGTCTTTCTGCTTTCCGTTGCAAACTCAGCAGCTTGCACCTCATGAGGCAAGTTTAATGTTTCTTCAATCTCAATTACCATTTTTGTGATGTTCATAATTCTTATTAACATGCTGAAAGTTACTTATTTTTCGTCAACTTTTTTAATTTAACTTAGAATACATCTATACATTATTTGTTTACTTTTTTTTTTAAATCTTGGCAATGTGGTCTTTCTGTGGTTGTGATTTTTATATAAATGGAGTACCATGCCCAATATTGATTAGTTAAATTAAGTTAGTTTTTGTTGTTCAGTTAGTATAACTTAGCCTAAGCAATAATAATATATGTGTGTGAGCGTGCCCAGGTGAAATACTAACTAGTGCCCTGATTAAGGCATTAAAAGTGGGAATATTTATTAAAAAACATTAATGCACTCCCACCATGATTTGCAGTGCACCTTCAGCATGATTTCCTATGATAGTTTTCTATTTATTGCTTAGGGAGTTGTTAGCAATAATTGTTTAGAAATAAAAATGAAGATTTTATTATGGACCTACACATAAGTTGCTTAAAAATTGGTCAAAGTTATTTATATAAACAACTTTATTCTAATTTTAAGCAATCCATCTATGAGATTTATAATAAAATATTCATGTTTATTTCTAAACAACTCTTATTAGTGACTCCCTTTAGAGATGTTTTAAGAATACTGGTTAGAGCAGTAGTTAGCAAGACCGTCGTATACCAGGGCAAGTTTCAATTGGGAGGCTTTATAGATATCCTTACACAAATGAAAAATTGAGAGAATGAAGTGAAGGAGATACTAAATTTGGGGATTATATGGCGCAGTGATTGTGTTTAATCTATTCCAGTGATGAAAAAAGCTCCACATGGCAAATGTGTATTGATTATTGTACCCTTAATAGGGGATTATGTGGTGGATGAATTGTACAGGGCTAGTTTCTTTTCCAAGCTTAATTCGATGAGTTGCGCTTGGATAAAAGATATAAATGTGTAAACCTATTTATTCCAATTGAATATTTGACACATTGGATGGCTCGTATCTGAAGTTTGTTTCGTGTCTGTCTGTTGTTATTCTGAGGATCCTAGTGCTTGGACAATATTGGATGTTAAGAAAAAGACTACTACAATCACGTCAAAATAGAATTTTATTTTCGATACCATTGGATATGATTGATTTGCTCATTTCTCTTCACTGCTACATTATTAGCACGGGATTTAGTAGGTTATGAAAAACTTTAAAGTTTAATTTGCTCAGTTTTAATTTTTAACGAATAAGGCTGTACTTTACATTCAAGGATGAGATGGGGACTAAAGATTCAAATTATGAACATAGAAAGCAAACAATTATTTTTAATTCATTTTTAAGTTGTAATGTAACAAATACAGAATTCTGTCAGAGTCTTGGTAAATTTTGATATTGTTGAACTGGATAGCAGTTTCTCTTATCAACTATTCTGAACAATATATTCTTTCTGCTTGTTACAGCTCAAGAATTACAGGTCAACGGGATTAATCATGGCTGTTGGAGCAGACAAAATTCCAAAATTTCGTCAAGAATTAGCTTCTTTAATAAATGAAACCTGATTGCGTCCACAATGTTCCTAGATAATTTATTAGATAATAGAATCTTAATACTTTGAACATGTATTTTAACGTGATATATTGCATTGGGTTTGATGTGCCAAATTTTGAAACCTGTCTTTCATTATCAATGAGCCTTTTGTTCTGGAATAGCTGTCTTTGCCCCAGCTGTTCTAGTATGCATAGCGAACCTGCAAAATAGTGGGTGTGCTCCAGGGAACGGATTGCAATGACTACGAATACCACCATTCTTTATTTAAAATTAGTATGAAGCTGACTATGAAGTTGGTGATGGATCAAATTTAACAATATGAAACGATAAAAAATATGGTTAACTGATCAAGCGGGAATTGGTTGAAAGTAACTTTACTTGGCATGGAGCATTTTTTGAAACATTACTTGACATTATATATAACAAGGAAAGTTTCTAGCATTACTTGTGAAGTTAATTTATCAATCTACTCTTCCCATTTGTTCTCGTTCACCAAAGTTTGATATAACACACAAAGTTTCTTGTCATTCTGATGCCCAATGCAAAAGTTCATTGGATCAATAACAATATAGGACCATCCCTCATAAAATCGGATCCATCATTAAACTATCGGATCGGTCTTGAACGAGTTTAAAGTTAAAAGTTTAATGGGAGTAATATATTTTAATAATATATTAAACTTAAAATAAGTTTATTGTAACATAATAATAATTTTAATTCAATATAAATATTATTTAAAAAATATTTGTAAAAATAATCTGAATAAACATATTATCAATCACTAAGATTATAAAGTAATTAGAAAATAAATTTTGTGGTTTCACATAATTTGAAAATAATTAAGAAAAAAAGCTGTAACTAATTTTTGACTTGAAAATAATTAAAAAAAATTGTAACTAATTTAAAAATAATTAGAAAATAAAATTATACTTAACTTGAAAATAATTAAGGAGAAAAAATTATATTATATTTTTTATTACATCTCATTTTAAATTTTATATATTTTATATTATTTTAAGATATGTTTATGAAACTAAGGATAATTTAATGTATTTAATTAATCGTCTCGTTTATCAATATCAATTTATTTTTAGTATCTGTTCTAGAAGCCATCATAAATTTAAAAAACCTTAATTTTAAAAAACTTGATTTTAGAAAATTCTAAATTTAGTTTTATGAAATATACAATGAAAATTCTTTTAAAAATATTTTTTTTTATAATGTAATATCTCTAAAATTATTTTATCAAAATAATTTTTAAAATAAAGAGACGTGATTCTTAGATGTTATATTTATAATTATAATAATGACAATAGTATAACTGACAGTAATAAAGACGACACTGGAATGGATGACGTTAACAATTACAAGAACGAAAAATACAATGACAAAAAAATTTCACTAATACAAAAATTTTCTCTATTTATGTTTATGTGTTAAACTAAAGAAAATAAAAATATATAAAAAAATAATATCATTTAATCTTAAAAAAAAAAAAATTTAACCCTCTGATTTTATCGATTTATCCTATTTTTACCATTAACTTACTCCAAATAGAATTGTTATTTGACAAAGTAAGTTAAGAGAAATATGTTGTTAAAAAAAACACATTCAATAAAACATAATACCTTTGTCATTAATATCATTACAGTCTCTTATAATAAACAAAATAAATTATAATTTAAAAAAAATTAAGCACACTCTTTATAAATTTTAATATTTGTTATTATTATAAATATAATTTTCAAACTAGTTATCTTACTATAATTTAGAACTATTAAAATCAACTATCCATCTATTCCAATTACATGAAAAAAATCATAACGAGTCCGTCTAATACATATTATAAATTATCTCTAATTGTTACATTTTGTCTGGTTTTTATTATTTGTTTTGACCCTATTAAAAAGAAAATAAAAAAAATTATAAATATAAATAAGAACATTTTTAATATGTATTTTTAATTTTGTACAATGTGAACGAAATTAGTTATGATTTTTATATATAATTATTTAATATATGAATTTTATCAAATTTTTGTAAAATTATCTTACTATTTATTTAATTAGAATTATTATTTTTAAAAACAATCCGATTGAATATAAGCCCAATTGACATGTCAAACTATTATAACAAAGTAAATCTATAATCATTATAATCCAATTTAGCCTATTTTATGGATTATTTAAGTAAGATACATTTTAGCAACTGAAAAATTATTGGGTTCTATTATTTAAGTTTGATTATTTTAAATTTTTAAAGTTTATAATAATAATAATAATAATAATAGTAGTAATAATAATAATAGTATATTATTATGGATAATTCAGAAAATAAAAATGAATTTTATTGGGGTTAATATAATATATATTATCCGGGTGCAGCGCGTGGTGTGTGGGTAGCAAATACGACGGAGTGTGAAGAGATAACGAAGGAAGAGGAAATGGCAATGGCAATGGCAAGTTCTGGAAGATGTGCAGTATCCTTCAGGAGCACCTTCGCTGTCAATAAACCCTGTAACATTCTTCTTCTCTTCGTTACTTGTTCTTTGTGTTTGTGCTCTGTTTGTCAAATTAATCATTTTCATTTTCATTTTCAGCGGATCTTGGCTTCGTCACCTCGCAGTTGAGCGGCCTCAGAATCTGCTGCCCTAAATTTCCCAACCCGCCCCTCACCGCTTCTTCCCCACTCTCCGCGCCTCTCCCCATCGTTGCCAGTATGCAATTCCCGCTATTTCTTCATTTTCTATCTTTCGCTCAATTCATTAACCCTAACATTCATGTGGCTTCCAATTCACCTTTTTAACTACATAGCTTCTAATTAGTTATTAGGTTCACTCTAGATATATAGTATAGCCACTTCGAAGTTTAGTTCGAATTATGTTTTATTTTTTTCTTTCATTTTTATTTTCCTCCATCCCCGAATTACTCCATCTCAAAATCACCGCAGTTTTAGTCTTAAAAAATTCAAATTTTAATTTGTCCCTCTAAATTGTATAGTAATCGTAGTCTATAAAAGGAATGTATTGCTTGAGAGAGGGAGGTTATTTTAGTAAAATTGTGTTCACTAAAAAATGTTTATTTTGTTTTTAATATATGTGACTGTGGTTATTTTAGGATAGGGATTATGAAGGTAATACCAATTTTTAGTATCCATTCCTGAGCTCATTTTTAAACGCTAATACTACTTATGTGCTGTATCTATGCACTCACCAATAGCTTTTTCAGTTTTTTTGTTTCAGTAGACAAGTAGTGATGCATGATAAATTGCTTGATGTGGTCTCTGTAAAATTCATTCCATACCTCTGCCTTTTAAACTTACTGGGGGACTATATAGTGTAATATATTTCTTCAAGTGTTGGAAAAGCCGTAGTAGACCAGCTAAGTTGCGACTCGTTGGAGTTCCTAAATTGCAAATTCATGAGTGATGATTTAATCTAACACCAACTAGTGAGATGGTTAAAAAATAGTATATAAGTAGGTTTAAAACTTCACTTTATGGAGTTAAGTTAGATGCAAACCCAAACTATAAGATTAAAATAATAGATTATATGATGTGAATCCCTTTTGGGACAAGGGGAAACCGTATTAATTTATTATATTTCAATCAATTTACGGTGTTAATGTAATATGCTCTATATTTATTTCTCTAATTCTTGCCGTTAGTAAAACTATAATCTTTTTTTCGTTGTTCTATGATTTCAACGATTTTTATAATAAACACTGAAAACATTTTGTATGGGTTTCATTGTTTCTTAATTTCATCTATTCTGTAAACTTTTTTATTTAAAATTGAAAATAAAAAATATTTTTCAAACCAAACTCCAAGAGAACTTTCATAACTAACGATTCGCTGATATAGTGAATCATCTTTACTATGAGACATAACTACAATTTATGAAGTATCGATACTTTAATTTCCTCAATTATCCACATCCCGTCTTGGTACAATGTGTAGTATCAATACTTTTATTTGTTTCACGTATTGATAATATCTAAATCTTTGAAGTATTACTACTTTTATTTGTTTCAGCTATCTGAAATTGATGTTTTTTGAGACTTCACTGATACACAGAGGTGAAGTGTCCATGAAAACATTATATCTAATAAAACTGTAAGAAACACATGGAAACGTTGTCTCTTCATAAATCAAAAATTGAAATTGTTTTCTTTATGGATTCATTTTAAAAAGTTATGAAATTGATAGTGTTATTTCTTTATATAAATAATAGAAAGTAATTTATGATGACAATGCTTTATGAATTTTTTTTTATTTCAGTTATGTCTAATAAATGTATTTTTTAAAATAAAATTTTGGTCATATTGTGTCCTATTCTTTTTAAAACAAAATATTCAATCACCGTACTGTATACATGCAACATAGACTGCAATCATTGTCATTATATTAAATTTGTTATTTTTGGGTGAGATAGGTGTAAAGGGTAGATGTTTATTTTGTTTTGCAAGCATGTCTGTGGTGTGCATGTTTTGGCGGGTCACACCTTGTGATCATTATTTAACTGTAAGATTAAATAAATTTTCTTTTGCTGATTGAAAAAATAAAAGAAGAAAATAAACTAGTTGGTTGGCGATTGATTCTTCTAATGCTGTGATTTTAATGTATATTCAGGGAGGGTGTGTCCTTTCACTGGAAAGAAATCAAACAGGGCTAACAAAGTGTCATTTTCAAACCATAAAACAAAGAAACTGCAGTTTGTGAACCTTCAGTACAAGAGAATTTGGTGGGAAGCGGGGAAGCGCTATGTAAAGCTTCGTTTGTCAACTAAGGCATTGAAAACGATAGAGAAGAATGGACTCGATGCAGTTGCGAAGAAGGCTGGAATTGATCTCAGGAAAAAATAAGAGTATGGTTTTGTAACAGTGGAATAATACAATCATGTTCATTAGATTTTTCTTGTCCGTATATTATTTTCAGAAGCAAGCTGTGTTGTTTGTAGAGAAACAAAATAGGTGACCTCATAGGCAATGAATTTCACAAATGGAAAACCCTTTGACAAACCCTTTTAGCCTATAAAGTCCATGGATATCATACGACCATTAGTAACGTGAATTATCCTACTAAATTGATACCACCACGAGGTGTTGCCAGATTCACCGATATCGCAATAAAGAGAAGGCGCATTTATCATCCTTTTACCTGTTAAGTATGTAAGTCTGTAGAGATGTTATATAAATTAGTGTCATGCGTAGAGATGTTAAGGTGTATTTGTATTTCTTACCTCAAAATTGAAAATCACGAGTATATCCTCGTTTCATGGATATGAGGTCTTTTGCTTTGCAGGTATTTAAGAACTGCAAAAAGCTTGGAATAAAGCCAATACATGAAATTTTCGAACTTGGAAAAGTTTTTGGGATAATCATGTGCATCGCATTGGGATCGTGCAGAAGGTGAAACTTTTTGCAAGGTTATTTGAGCAGAAGATTTGAACTGGTGGCAGTATTATGCATATATTGGCATTACCTTCACATAAGTAGCATCGTGCAATTTCAATTACCCTATCTTTGTTGAACAATTTCATATAAGTTGCGTCAATATCAATTGTGCTTCAACTAATTTCATCTATATCATGCTCAAGTTACACGAATTAGGTTTGCATTCAGTTTTAATTTGTGATTTAATATAAAAAATCATACATTCAATTATATATATATATATATAATATGTTTATTGACTTTTACAGTAATTATTTTTAAAATAAATTAAATATTCAAAATTTGAGCTTGTTTATTCGATAAAACAGATGTAGTTGACTGAATATTTAACAAATTAAACACAAAATATTTGATCGATAAAATAGATGTATAAGTATAACTTTTAAAACGGTTAAAATCAACCCCTTTATTTTTCAAATAAATGATTATCACTTCTTATTTCATCCTTCATACTACTTTGCTTACATTATCCATATTCAATGTTAAAGATGGTGAGTTCAAAACATAATGTTAAATGTGATTAAAGTTTTAGTCAAACTAATATTTTAATTATCAGTTTAAAGAAAAATCTGCAACCAATATACACTTCCAATAATATTTGGTTCAAATTTGTTTGGGCAAAAAATTATTCCAAACATATTTAAAATTTACTTAATGATGTATGACAATCTTCTTGATGAATGAGTTTTTTTTTTAATGCATAAGAATTATCCTTTACACATTTATTATATGAACAAACTTAACACAATTCCCATCTTTCATAAGTAAACAAATATCAAATATTTTATTAAAATATTAATATAATACACAGTGTAATTTGTGTTTTAACCAAACAGTTTATTTAGTGTTTGAGTCTTGGTGTTACTTTAAGCATGGAATAGAATAAAATAAAATAAGAATTTGTTACTTAAAATTTGTTTTTTTTTTTAAATTGTCTCAGTCTTAAATTCGAACACATTAAGATATATCGGAATTACACTTTCATTAAATATGACCAGGTTTTAACTAATATAACCCACTCATAATTTGTTCTTATTGTGCATTAGAAGAACTCGAACCCAAACACACATTTAACATGGTGTACACTTTAAATTCAAATAAAATGAATTAATCACATAAATATGTTAGAATCGCGCAGCGGAATGTTCGCGTGGTCGGACAAAAACCAAGAGGGGGGTGAATTGGTTTCTTAATAAAAATTAGGTTTTCAAAATTTTCCCCAAATTTTACCGATTAAAAACTGCGTAAATGTAAATAGAGAAGAGTAGAGAAGATTACACAAGAGGTTTATACCTGGTTCGGATCAAAAGACCCTACGTCCAGCTGCTAATCACTCAAAAGAGGATTAACGCCGTCACTAAGAACAAATTGTTATAAACAGATTACAAATCAAAGAGATAAAGTAAAGACAACACCTCTCTTGAAATCCACAAGAGATGAAGAACAACTTTCCCTAGAGATCAGACAAAGACACAATCCACTAAGAACTCCACTTAGTGATTCTTATCGCTTCTAGCCTCACACCAGGTTTCCAAAAGCCCCCTTTCCTTGCAACAAACAGCTTCTCCGGCACTCACAAGACTTAACTTTTGTATGGAAAGAGTTGTTCTTATTTTTTCGAGTGCCAAAGCAGAGTTTAAGTAGGGAAATTAGGGTTAAGGAATTGGGGATTTCGAAACTAGGGTTAATTTGAAATTTAAAAACAAAAACAGATCGAAATAATCGATTAAATGGAGTTTTAATCGATTAAAACAGAGCCAAATACGCAGTAACCCAATCCTCTTCGGTTTAATCGATTATTTGGTGAAATAATCGATTATTTGACCTTTTAATCGATTATTTTGATGTTTTAATCGATTAAAACAGTGAGTATATGCTCGAAAATGGTTTTCTCACTCGTTTTAATCGATTATTTCCTATATAATCGATTAAAGCCGAGCCTGCATGATAAATTTGAGCATTTTGAAGCTTCTAAGTTACGTGACTATGTACCTAGCTATCTTAGACTCTATAATTACAGACTCAATCAAACTAAAACAGAGTTATTACAATACGTAAATCATCAATCTTCAATCTTCAATACTCTAAGTCTTTAAGCTCTTGGATCATCATCAAAATCAACATTCTTCATGATCATTATTTGCAACATCAAGTCCTTGAATGTTCAACAATCTCCCCTTTTTGATGATGATCAAAATTATCTTTTTAAAGCCCTTGTAATAACCTGTTTCATCCGTCATACTAACAAACACATTAAACATACCAGGATAACATTTAATATTGAATCATAGGCTTTAAATTTTTCTCCCCCTATTTTGATTATAATCAAAAAGAACTCTGCAACATCAATAATAAGAGCTCCCCCTCAAAATATGCATAAGTTAGAGAAAGCTCCCCCTCAATCATAGCATAAAAGAAACATCAAATTTTATTTCATAATCATTTATCCATTACAATAGCAAGACAATAACAAAAGAAAATACATAACAGATTTTAAAATTCTTCACTATCCTCATCATTAAAGTGAGTATCAAATCTATTTTCTAATCTACCCACTCTATCATCTACATCGGATATGCGACTAATAATTTCATCATGGCGTACTCTGGAAAGATTGAAGAATGATTGCATTCTTTGATTCATGTCTGAAAGCATATCTTCCATGGATTGTCTTGTTTCTTGATGAGAAGAGGATGTTCCAACACTTTGGATTTGGTTAGAGGGAAAATTATCAGCTGGAGGCATATCTTCATCGAGTCTTTATTTGCATCACTTTGATTTTGAACGTCATCTTTGTGAACATAGATGTCATTGACACGCACCATTTGAAGTTGAGTCAATGTGCTGTCCAACATGCGGTTTAAGTTGTTTGTTCTAATCGCTTGCTCACCTTCAACATTCACTCCTTTATATTCAAGAATACGGGATACAAGAAGTGCATATGGAATTTTGAAGGTGTGATGACGTTTTGCTTTAAGCATGGTCATTTTGACAAGAACACCCCAATCTAAAGGTTCATTATTCATTATGGCATGAATAATTCGAAGATCAATGGATGAGCATTGGGCATGATTCGTAGCCCTGGGACATAAGATCCATACAAGTAAATGTAGAAGCATGCGTTCTTCCTTCTTTAAAGGTCCAAGCATGAAGAATACGTCCAACCTCCGAGAGGGATTCCGCGAAAAGATCGATAAGCTAAGAACCCGTCAAAGTCATCTAGCTCACCATAAACGTTAATAGCATCTTCTCTAATGGGGAAGTGAGCAACATTTTCCCAAATATCATCATCTAGAATTATGGAAACCCCTTTTACACTGGATGTAGCAATTTGATCCCTAAACTTGAATCTAGAATAGAATACCCTAACTAAGTCGGATAGTATGTACCTTGCATTTGGATAAACGGGAGAACTCCTTGAATTTCAAGAAGATTAGGAAAATTGAAACCCCTACGAATGAATTGCTCACCTATAAGAAATTTGGGAGAAATAATAGCTTTTTCTTTCCAAGTAGGTTAGAAACTCTTGTTGGCTATCTCGCATCGTAAATCCATCCTTCTACGTAATTAGGACTGGAATGAGAGGAAGATGCAGATCTTCTTCTTGTAGGAATCTTAGGGAGAGAGGATGAGGCCATTTGAAAGAATAGATGAAGTATGAAGAAGATTTGGAGACAAGTGAGGAAATAATGAAGCAAAGAGAGTATAGATTTCAAGAAAACTTGATTACAAGAGTTAGAAGTGAGTATAATTGACCTAGATGTCTCTATTTATAGAGAAAACACTTCCAACGGTCATATAGAAGAGATTCCATGGCAAAATATCCGTTGGCAACGGCTAGGAGGCAAAATCGAGTCGCATTTAATCGATTATATTTCAAGATAATCGATTATTTCAATATTCGATAGCTTTAATCGATTATTTCAAGCAAATAATCGATTATCGGAGACATTTAATCGATTATTTCACGAAATAATCGATTATTCCGAGAAGAATACCCTGTTTTGGATGTTTTGAGAAAAATAATCGATTATCACTTCCAAGAATCGATTATTCCAGAGGCTATATCAAGTTTTTGAGATTTATATGCATAATAACCTATGAACATGCTACACCACGAATTTTAACATAACAATCATCCGAAACGAGTCAAATTAAGCAGATTTTAAGCTATTTTTAGTATCCCTAAGTCTCTTCGAAGATCATAGAATCTATCCTTGGGTGGAGGCTTAGTAAATATATCTCGCTAATTGACGTTTAATGTCTACATACTCTATCTTACAGCTTCCTTTCGTTGATATTATCTCTTAAAAAGTGATGTCTAATCTCAATATGTTTAGTCCTAGAGTGCATTACTCGGATTTTTAGTTAAGTTGATTGCACTCGTATTATCACACATTAATGGAATGTCATTTAAATATATGCTATAATCCTCTAATTGTTGTTTCATCCACGTAATTTGAGCACAACAACTACCAACTGCAATATATTCAACTTCAGTGGTAGATAAAGTTACACATGCTTGTTTCTTAGAATGCCATGATATTAAGGATGAACCTAACAAATGACATGTCCCACTAGTGCTTTTCCTATCAATTTTACATCCACCATAATCAGTATCAGAATATCCTAATAAACTAATACAAGCATCGACGGATACCACAAGCCAAATCCAAGTAGTTCCTTTTAAGTATTTTAAAATATGTTTTACTGCAAATAAATGAGATTCTTTAGGACAAGCCTCGAAATCTAGCACACACACGTACGTAACGCATAATATCGTGTCTACTAGCAGTTAAGTATAATAGTGATCCTATCATACCTCTATACATAGTTTGATTTACTTCCAAACCTGATTCATCCTTGTCTAAATAGCATGAAGTTCCCATGGGTGTGTTAGCTTCCTTTGAGGTGTCCATACCAAATTTTTTAGGATCTCTTTGCAGTATTTAGTTTGAGAGATGAAAGTGTCATCTTTAAGTTGCTTGATTTGAA